CTTTTTGAGACAAGGTCTCCCTGTAGCCCCAGCTGTCCTGGAACTCACTATGTAGACCAGGCTGGCCTTGAACTCAGAGAGATCGCCTGCCTCTGCCTCCCGAGTGCTGGGACTACAGGCATGTGCCACCAGGCCCAGCGAAAGCCACATAACACATTTTATTTCATTTCCAAGGTAGAAATGTTCTTAGAGATGGGGAGAGTGAGGATCCGAGAAGTTGAGTAACTTGGGCAAGGGTACCCAGCTGACAAGTGGTAGATGTCTGATTCTAAAATCTGTTCTACCAGACAAGAGCCTAACAGTGCAGGATAAGAGGCCAGTGATTCAGGCTCATGCAAAGCACATCCTCACAAAAGGCCCCACTGCTGGAGCCTCCAGTGACAGCATCCCCCAGGACCTTCTATTCTCTGACTCCCACCTTTCTCTGGGCCCCTTCTGCAGGGTGGTGAAACAGCACAGATGTATGCTTTCACCCCTGTGGGGGATGGGGAGGCAGTGATCCAGACAGAGAAATCTGACAAGTCAGACCATGGGGGGTCTCCCTCCTGCTAACACGCCCCTCCCTGTTCCCATCTGCCCCTCCCTTTTGTGGGTCAAGGCTGCCAGCATCTGAGTCTGCTTCAGTTATGCTCTGGAGGAAGGGAGAGTCAGGGTGAAGGGGTGTCTGTGTGTATGAACATAAGGCCTCCAGGTTCATTCTGACACTGAATGAAAAACTTGCCAATTATTCCTCTAAGCTCATTACTATGCAGACAGACATCTGTTATTTAGGAGTCAACAGCAGAGACATTTTCTTGGGGGGAGGGGCACTTGTGTTCATCTCATCTTTGGTTACTGTGGTATAGCTTCTTGGGCCCTACCCCAGCACTGAGGATCTGTAACCTCCTTTCTCTTTCATCTCACAGCAGCCTTGAGGAAAGCAGGCAGGGATTGGCTAGAGATGGAGGACAACCTAGAACCCAGCTGAAAAGAGGGAAGCAGTAGAAGAGCCAAAACTGTAGAGGAAATTACTAGAACAAAGATCTGAGTCCCCCTCTTGGAGAAGAGTGTAGAGGAGACAACTGTGCTAGGCTGGCCTGCCAGGATCCTGATATCCACTGGGAAATTAAAGACATGACTCCTTGTCCACCTTCTTCAGGCCGTAGGACAAATCCAAGTATATCTGGTGGGTTGCTACGGCAACATGGGCTCCTCAGAGACTTCAGAAAGTTGGTCATGATGACATCTGCCTATAATCTCAGCATTCCTGAGGTTAAGACAGGAGGATACAAGTTCAAGGCTAGTCTGAGTTACATAGTAAGACCCTATCTGAAAAACAAAAACATAGCTAGACATTGTCCACAAACCTGTAATCCCAATACTTGGGATACGGAGGCAGGAGGATCAGTTTAATATCATTTTCAGTTACATAGTAAGTTTGAGTCCAGCTCATAAAAATCCAGAGAGAGAAAGAACCCAGAAAATGTCATAAGGAGAAGTCAGAAAAATAAAGACCAAAGGGTCTCAGCCCTTTGTACCTTTAGGTACAGATAGAAGACACAGACATTCCCCTTCCATCCTCCATTTCCTAAGTTGCAGCACCAAACCACCCCTCAAAGAAGCCTTTGCTGTTAAGAGTTGGGCCTGATGATGAAGGCTCAGGCAGGAATTCTTATGTTAAAAGCCAGCCAGCCTGGGCAACTTAGACTATCTCAAAACAGAAGGTAAAAAGAAAAGGGGCTGTGGATATAGCACAGTGGTAGAATGTTAGTATACCAAGTATGAAACTCTAGGTTCGATTCTCAGTACAAAAAAAGAAGATAAAATGTGATGTCTTCAGACCCAGTTCAGAAGCACTCAAGTCTGTGTAGCCATCTTACAAAAATCAACACAAGTACGGGGTCTGTCAGAGTCAAATAGCTTTCTCACCTTCTGCTCACAGGCTCTTCCTCAACGGCACAAGGAGGTAGATATTACCTCTTTCCTAAGTATGAAGACCAAGGGTCAAACAGGTGCTGGGCCTTGCCCAAAGCTTCCCAGGGTGAAAGCAAGAGGACTGGACCCAGGCCCTAGGGCCTCTATTGCCCTCTCAGGCTCTTTCCCTGGCTGCTCCTCCTGGAAGGCTAGACTCACAGTGTGGGAAGAAGGGACCCTCCTAGGTTGAAGTATTTGAGAGGTTAGTCCAGGAGTCTCCCCTGCCCCACCCTGGTACACCCCACCCAAGCTGATTGCCAAAGTTAAGATGCATTGACAACATTAGGGTTATTAGTTGCTTATTTCATTAAATGATTAATGAGGCTACATTGTTTCCCAAATGGGTATCTAATTTGTGGGGGAAACAGCTGCAGAGAAGGAAGCTGAGCCTGACTCTTACATATGGGTCAGGGCAGATGTGAGGTTCCCTCCAGCCTGTAAGGATCTTTTTGTTGTTAAGTCTTTTTGAGACAGGGTTTCCCTGTATCCCCCCGCCCCACCTGGCCTGGAAACTATGTACACCAGGATGCCCACGGAGTGCTGGGATTAAAGGCATGTGCCACCATACCTGGAACAGCCTCATTCCTTTCTCTACCTGTTGTTGGACTCCTCAGTCCAGAGGCCCAGCCTCTTCCTTGGAAATAAGAGTTGGCAAATCATCCCTGCAGAGGGGACCAAATTTTGTTCCCACTGGTTTTGGAAATGTATTAAACTTTGGGGGTTCCACCAACTGATTTATCTTCCTAATTATGTTTGCTTTAGGCAGATATTGAAATACATTTGCATTCTCTAAACACAAATGGTAGGAGAGGGATGTCAGGAAAAAAAGAGGAAGTGCAAATGTTCTGCACTGCAGTGACTGCAGCCTTGAGCCTGCTTTGTAATGAAAAGTCCAGGAACAATGTCCTGCCAAATTTCCAAGTCCATTTTTTTCAATTTTTGATTTATTTTTATTTTATGCATATGAGTGTTTTGCCTGCTTGTATATAAGTGCACCACATACCTGCAGTGCCTACAGAGGTCAGAAGAGGGTGTCAGATCCCCTGGAGTTGGGGTTAAGGATGGTTGTTAGCTGCCATGTGGATGCTGGGAACCTGGATCCTCTGCAAGAGCAGCCAGTACTCTTAACTGATTAACCATCTCTCCAAATCACTTTTTTTTTTTTTTAAATCTTTTTAAGACAGGGTCTCTCTGTAGCCCTAGCTGGCCTGGAACTCACTATGTAGACCAGGCTGGCCTTGAACTCACAGAGATCTGCCTGCCTCTGCCTCCCGAGTGCTGGAATTAAAGGCATGCGCCACCATGCCTGGCCCAAGTCACTTTTTTGTGGGGGTGGATTGTCAGTCTCAGCCCAGACTGCCCTTGAACTTGCAACAGTCCTCCCACCTCAGCCTCCCAAGTAATATGATTACAAACAAGAGTCACCATGCCCTCTTCCTAGTCCATTTTTATGACACATCTCTACTGGGGAAGGATCAGTTTTCTCTGAGACAGAGATCCACCTAACTGGTCATGAGAGCCCCAGCCCTCTCTAGCATCTCTAAGACTTAGGGCCCTTGAAGAAGGTCTCGGAGCCAACCCCTCACCAGTTGAGAGTAAGGGAAGTCTAGTGCCCTTGAAGTTACCCTAGAATCCCTTAGACTGGTTGAGATAAAAGTCCCACAGGAGATGGGATGGGGCTGTCCACTGAGAGAGTTAGGAAGCAGTTCTTTCCAAAGACTTGGATTTGGCAGAGGGAAAGGAGGAGGTGTTTTATATGACGCATAGAACCCAACCTCCTAACCCCTACCACTGCATCAGGTAACCATCTATCCAGAAAACCAATTCTGACCACTTTGGTCTCTGCCTGAAATCCGTGGTGACTCTTCACATCCCTACAAGGAACTCTTTCTTCCTTTGTGGACTCTATAGTGGCCTCAAAGGTCCTTCCCAGCCTTGTCTGCTCTCCCTGCTGTGGAGGTCATGGAAGTTGTGCCATACACATCTTTGCCTCCATGTGTCTGCTCCTGCTGTACCCTCTGCCAAGCGATCCTTTCCTAATCCCCATCTGCAAACTCCCCTTCAACTCTCAGGAAGACCTTTGCTCATGGAGCTCCCATAGCAGCACATATGTGTACAATGTCCCTCAGACAAGGTACCCTTATACTGGGGATGCCCCTCTTCCCTAGTGGGCTGGCCTCCAGAAGCTCAGACTGACTACCTCAATCTCTCAAGTCAGTAGCCCAGTTGATGCAGTACATGTTGCTTGAGTACACAGGGAGGGGTGGGATGTAAATTACATTAGGGTGCCAGCGGATGGGAGGGTAGGGCCTGTGCTCTGGAAGAACTAGCTGGGACTAGGATTGGGGGAGGGGAGGACCAGGAATGATTCCTGGGGGAGAATGTCACCAAAAAGAGACCAGTGGGACCAGAGCCAGGGAGGGAATACAGGACAATCTGAAACCAGACTCCCAAGAAAATAGACCAGCAGTGTCCTTCCTGTAAAGTACTCTGGCCATCCCTTCCACTGGCTTTTGTTGGCCTAGGGCTGGGGTGGGGATGACTCTCAATCACAGCTGATGCTTTCCCACCAATCATTACGGAGTTCAGGATAGAAAAGAGGGACAGTCCCTGCTTCAGCCTTGAGGCGGGGGGATGGTAAGAAGTCCGTACCACTTCAAGACCCCTGCAGGGTAATTCTGAGCAGCCATTCACTCCAAGGCCCCTGAGGGCTATCCACCTCTTTAGCTGGATTCTCAAGGTGTTTCTGATTAAAAGCATGGTTTTTTCTTGTGTTCTGTCTGTGGGCATGGACACTGGTAAATTAGTTTTTGAGAAAGGAACAAAACTAAAGCCACAGTTGTTTTCCATGGACATGGGCTTTATTTGGGATCTATTTGGGGAAGAGAGAGGGAAAACTAGAACTGTTTGTTGGGCTGATGGTAAAGAGGGACTTTTCCTTGCTTTAAAATTTAGTGCATGATGCCTGGAGGTTAGAATGTGTGAGAACAGATGTACAAGGGAGAGGAAAGGAAAAGAGGTCATAGGATTGACCCTTTCTCAGGGAAGGCAGCCTGGATATGGGACAGGGATGGGGAGGAAAGTTACATTTTATAGAAGACTCAACCAAGGTCATTGCTTGATCCTGGCTTCCCTAACTTAACACACCTGCCCACTCAAGTTCATGCCCCAGATGCCCACTTTATTAGCTCTCTCAACTTCCAGCAGAGAGGGGGATGAGGGTATGGGGAATGGTCACACCCTCCATCCTTTAGTACCTCCAACCAGAAGAATTGCTCCCTCTGCTGCCCTGACCTCCAGCCAGGGTCAGGAGGTCAGGAAGCCTAGGTGCAGGCAGGAGAACAATTAGCCTCCCACCATCCCTCCTGGCTCTCTGCCCCACTGCAGCCCCTCACATGAGGTTACAACTCTTGGCTCGATCCTTATGTATCTCGCCCTCGTTTCCCCGGTCTGGCCGTCCTGACAGCTGAGTGGATCTCTGCAATCCCCGGCGTGAGTCAGTGCGTCGCAACTGCCTGTGGCCACGGCCAAGAGAAGCCACTGTGGCCACATGGAAGACATCCCTGACGCTGCGCTCAGAAGATCGGGAGGAGCATTCAACGTAGGACACAGCCCCCACCTGCTTGGCCAGCACAGTGCCCTGGAAAAGAAGTGCATGGAAGAAAATTATAGGGCTTAGCTCACAGCTCAGCAAGGAACTTGGAGGCTATGAGCTTGGGGTTGAAGGTCAGGGCTGGAGGAGGATCATGGGATACAGTCAGAGGTTAGGGCAAAAGACTAGGTCGGCCAGGAAGGATATTTTCAAATCAGAGACAAAACAGGTGTGTGAACTCCAGACTGGGGTTAGATTGGAGGTCAAGGGTCTCACCTGCTCATGTGTAACAGGGATAAGCCTCTGCTTGGATAGTTCCCTCAGTGTAGCCAGGTCCGTCCGCATGTCCAGTTTACAGCCAACCAGCACAACCTTAGCATTGGGGCAAAACTCCTGAGTCTCCCCTTGCCACTAGTTTGGGGAAGAAAATGGAGTTATGGACAGGTGGAGGGACATACAGGGAAAAGCCTTGCTCCATGCATACAGAAACCATGCAGCCCTTCTGGCTGAGGAAGGATGTGGGAATGCTGGGTTTGGGTTGAGAGCAGGACAGTGTCAGAGAAGGGGAGGAGAACAGGGCCACAGTGAGACTATGGGGTTGTCTGTCAGCCTGAAATCTTCCCATTCTCACTCCCTTTTCCCATACTTTGGGGGACAGACCACACCCTCCGCTGCCTGAGAACTAGGGCTACCCTAGCTGACTTTTGTGCATTCACCACAGGCTTTTCTCATGGAAATAAGGGCCTGGACAGAAGGCCAAAGGGCTTCTCTGAGCTCCAGGATCAGCATTCCCAACCCTTCCATCTAGAGCTTCCACAGCCAAGAAGATGGGGAGGGCAGATAAGGACTCCCTGAGTCTTCTTGCTCTCATCTCCCCCAGCTGCTATTTCAAGCGCTGAGGGCTGATTTGTAGGAAGGAGCAGGATGGGAGGAATGGGGCTGAAGTAGAGGATGACAACTTCACCCACTACCCAGCTGATGGCCATTCGCCAACCATCACTCCCACCTCCTGGTTTGTGTCTGGTCCCCTCATGGCCCTGCTTCCCCAGGCTTCCACCTTTTTAAGGACACTGTCCAGTGTTTCAGGCCGGCTGATGTCAAAGCAGATGAGCACAGCATCTGAATCCGGATAGGCCAGAGGCCGGACATTGTCATAATAAGAGGAACCTGAGGGGAGAAAGTGAAGGGATAAAGCGTCTGAGCCGGTAGGCGGCCTGGAAGGGAAGGGGGAACTGAAGAGATTTTGGCCAAGGGATGCTGGGAGCAGGGAATGGAAAAGAGCAATCATTAATACTCATCATGGAGTGTTTCTTCAAGAAAGGGAGCAGGTAGAGGGGAGAGGAAAGAGCGGAAAACAGCAGCTCTCTGCTTCCTTATGGATTGCTTTAAAAGGAATGATTTGTAGCCGGGCTTGGTGGTGCACGACTTTAAATCCCAGCACTTGGGAGGCAGAGGCTGGCAGATCTTTGTGAGTTTGAGGCCAGCCTGGTCTACATAGTGAGTTTCAGGACAGCTGGGGCTACAGGGAGACCCTGTCTCAAAAAGACAAAAAAAAAAAAAAAAAAAAAAAAAAAAAAAGATTTGTAATCTTAGGGAGTTTCGAATCCCTTTAAGAAGCTCACAAAATCTATCAATATCCTGACAAAATTTTATATGTGCTTTCTGGGCTTTGATGAGACATCTTCTAAAGTCCTCCAGGGTACAGTAAAAATAAAAACCCTTCCCATGGGTTTGGGGCAGAGGCAGGGAGTGGAGTGTTCCTATTCTCTAGGGGCTCTATCAGATTTCTCTAGTTCAGTCTAGAAAAAAAACAAAATGAAAACTACTTCCTTCTACTCCCCTCACCCCAAGAAATTCTAAATAGGTCTCCTAAAGCCAGTCCCATCTCCTATGAAACACGTTCCAAAATAAGAGTCATTCCTTCTCAACTTCCTTAGGTTAGCAGAACCCAGCTGTGGGGTTTGGATATTAGGCTTTCTACTTAAGAACATGGTTTCTGTCAGGCTCAAGGAGCTCTGCCTCAGTTTCTCTGGCTGTAAGCAGAAAACTGATGTTCCATTTTAAAACTGGATGTATGCCTGAGCTAACCTGGAATCATCAGGTCTAGCCAAGGGAGGGGTCAGGGTGGGGGCCTTGGAAGTCAGGGTAACCTCGAGGGACTTGGCTACCTGAAGTATCCCACATGTTGAGCTCAATGCGGCGCTTGTCGATCTCGAAGCTCGCGGTGTAGTTCTCAAACACGGTGGGGACATAACTCTGCAGGAACGGATGGGTCAAAATGAGATCCTCTCTCTAGTCCTTGCCCAGACTACTGCCCTCTTCCCTCCCACGCCCGTATAGCTCAGTCCCTAGACAGAAGTTAGTCTAGGGTTGGGCGAAGTGACAATCCCAGGAACTACTGCCCCTGCCTCCATGGGAATCTCAGCTAGGATCACAGACCCGCTCTGGGTCCCTTCAACCCCTAGCTCTTTCCCTCCCAGATGCCCAGCCCTTCCGGATCCTCTGATGTGCCCAATCCCCATCCATTTCACCGTGTTCCCTAATTCCTTCCAACTCAATCCTCTGCAGTCCTTCCAGAGCCCCCCCCCCAACGCCTCCTCCCCCTCCTCGGAGCCTCTTTCTCTCGTCCCTGGTTTCCCTGACACCGGTTTCCATCGGTCCCCGAGGCCCCTGTCACCCCCTCCCCGCAGCCTTGGAGCCCCTCTCTCAAGACGCGGGTTCCTCACCCCGGGGTAGGCGTCCTTGGCGAACACCTGCAGCAGCGCCGTCTTGCCGCACTCTGCGTCCCCCACCACTACGATCTTGCAGCGGCCGCTCTGCCCCTCCATAGTCCCGGCTACGCGCCGGCCCCCAACGCTGCCCCCCCCCCGGGCCCCGCCGCCGCCTCTGCCACCTCCCCCCCCGCCGCTGCAGCTGCAGCCTCTCGGGCCGCCGACACCGGCATATCGCAGGCCCGCGCCGAGCCCCCGCCCGGGGCTGCGGGGCCCCCTCCGCCCCGCCCCCACGCCGGGGGCCGCACCCCCTGGCCCCGCCTCCCACCGCACCGCCGAGGGGCGGGTCCGAGAGGACGGGGCGGAGCTGGGGAGACCGAGGCCTGAGCAGAGTTTAGCGCACTCGCTTGACACCACGGGCCCTTGAGGGTTCGGGGTCCGCCGAGACCCGCCTAGCTGAGCGCCTTGGAGACGGGGGGCGGGGCAGACGGGGCGCAGTTCAGAGGGGTAGCGTATGAAGCTGCACACGCGCGAGGCTTGTGTGCCCACGCGTGCACGCAGGTGTGCCAGTGCGGACACGCGCGGCAGTAGCCGTCCACTTCCTGAACACAGGGGGGCGCGCGAAGTTGCGAAGGAGCCTTTTTAGTTTCATCTCCCTCCTCTGTCGCGTCCAGGCCAGGCTTGGAGAAAAGGAAGTGCAGACTCCAACACTCCCACCCGACGTTAGTGACATCATAGCTTTCCGTCTCTATGGCGACGGGTGGCCGGATCTGGGGCTGTGATAACTTAACCCTGGGCGTGGACTGAGTTCCTCCAGTCAAGTACTGAGTGGAAAGTTTTAGGGGGAGCGCTTGCGTCCTCTGGTGGATGGTTGGGTTGAAGGAGAAAGGAAACAAGAGGAAGACAGAACAGAGGGACAGCTCGGCTGGAGTCAGAGCGAAAACCCAAAAGTCCATTTCAGCCTCGACTCAGACTAATAATCCAACCACCGTTTGTATAGCATCTTTTGCCTTTGAAAAGCTTTTCCTTAAATCGAGGGTGCTCGATTTAATTTTTTACCTGGTTTTGGATAATCTTGTAAAGGTACCTAGAACACACAAGCATCATCACTTTTATAGAAGGAAAAATGAGGTACAGTGCATTTACCAAAACTAGTTTAGCCTGGAGATGTGCATGCACAAATTTCTGCGCACCATCCTCAGCATCTCAGAGGGAGAGGGTTGAGAGGGGGGAGGGAGAGAGGGGGGAAGGGAGGGAAGGAAGGAGGGAGAGAAGAGATGGGAGAGGAGAGGGAAGAAGGGGGGGAGAGAGGGAAGGAGGGAAAGAGAAGAGGTGAGGAGAGGGGAAGGGAAGAGTGGGGAGAGGAGGGGAGGAGAGAGGAGAGGAGATTCTCGTAGTTTGTCACTGCAGGACCACAATACACGAAGTCTGGTTATTAGTGGTTAAAGTTACAACCTGAGGCACAATTTCACTGGGCTCTCGTCCACAGGTGGCTGGTTCCCCAAATCTGATGTGGAGCTCATCCTTCAGACCTCTCCATGACAGTCTTAAATTTGAATAAGGCTTAATATGACTAAATCGAGTCGCAGTCTCTACATGCCCTAAAAGGTCCTGGTGCATAGCAGTCGCCCGGCACTGCGAGCCTTTTTCCTGGTCTCGCAGATGGCACGGCTCCGGGCCGGCCCTTAAGCCACCCCCCCACCGCGCGCGAAGCTCCGCCCCGGGCAAGCGCCGCGCCCCGCCCCGCCCACTGGGTCCGCAGCCGCTGCTCCACTCGACCGCGCCCCGCCCTCCCCAGCTGTGCACGGTCTGTACAGCTGGGAGCGCACGTCGGGAGTCCAGCCATGTCCGCCGAGAGAGAGGCAGCCGAGGCGGCCCCGGTGACCGCGACGGCCGAGGCCGGAGCCGGGAAAGATGCCCCTGCGCAGCCCCCGAAAGCCGAGGCAGCGAGTGATCCCCAGCCGCCCGCGGCCTCTGAAGGGCCCGCCGCCTCCTCCGCGCCGCCGCTGCGCAGCCTGGTACTCACCAGCTTCGGCGGCTACGACAAGGTGAAGCTGCAGAGCCGGCCCGCCGCACCCCCGGCCCCGGGGCCCGGCCAGCTGACGCTGCGTGTGCGAGCCTGCGGACTCAATTTCGCCGACCTCATGGCCCGGCAAGGGCTGTACGACAGGCTGCCGCCGCTGCCCATCACCCCGGGCATGGAGGGCGCGGGCGTCGTGGTGGCCGTGGGCGAGGGAGTCAGCGACCGTAAGGTGAGCAGGACCGAAAGGGGCGCTGAGGCACGAGTGGGCGGCTGCCGGGGGTGTGGCAGGGCGCGGAGCCTGGCACGGGTCGAGGTTGGACTAACCTAGGGAGCTAGGAGAGCAATTATGCCTTGAGGCTCCTGGGGAAAAGGATTTCCCGGGGAGTGGCGGGAACGTTATTGCCCCTTCCCGTACCGTTTTTAGTTGTGGCCGCCGCCCCTAAGCGGTGTTGTCGGGGGGGGGTGTTGTGGGGGGGGGGGGGGTGGCGGGGAAACAATAAGGCGTCTGCGCGCATGCGCATAGTGATCTTGTCACCCCCCCCTCGTAAAACCACACCTGTACCCTTTGCCCACCAAACACTCCCGGGGCATTTGTGTTCTTTGACCCTGAGTGACTTCTTTGCACCCGCTTTTCCCCCTAGGGAGCTTTGAGGAGCTGTGTAGCCGAGCTTGGGCGGGGGCCCGCAGTGACCGCGCCAGAGCACTAGTCACATGCAACCCCGTGGTGTGTGTGGGGGTGTAAGGCGGCCCCTCCCGAAGCCGGGCTAGAGGGGACACGCCCATCATGGGACAGAGGGAGCCTTGCTCCCCCCGACCCAACCACCACGAGCCCCACTACTAGTCGGGATTTGGTGGGGAGGTGGAGGATCAGGATCTTTGTCCGACTGCAGTATCGGCTGACTCAGCGGGCAGGCCGCGACCCCAGGGCTACTCTTAGGAACTTCCGGCCCAAACCGCCTTGCCCCCACCCTTTTCTGAGCACCCACCCCCACCCCCACCCCCGCCGCCTCAGAAACCCAGGCGGGTGGAGCAGCCCGTTTTGGACTGGGGTAGGGAGGTGTGGCACCATGAGCAGGTTGGCCCAGCTCTGCCGGTCTGTTTATCACTTATCTTTAAGCGTAGCCACAATCTCGGCCACATGACACGTCTAGATGACCAACTATTTGAGAGACTTCTCCATCTCATGTGTTTAGGGGTTTAGAGGCCTCTCCAAAGCAGTCTCTGGCTGACCTGACAGCCCAGGCATCACTGGATTTGTTGGATTTATCGAACATGCAGCCATTTCCTCCTTGAAGGGCTTCTACATGAAGCCAGCCCTGGCCCCAACCTTGACCTGACTTCAGAATAGAAATAATCCCACTCTTGGAGCTAAGAGGAATTTCTTTTTAGGGGGGTGGATTGTAGTTTGAATTACTGCTGAAGGCCGCCCATCTCTCCACACTTTCTGCCTGGTAAATACAGGATATCCTGTCCAAGGCAAGAATCTGATGTAAGAGGTTGGATTCTGTGGGAGGGCTTTCCCTCCCTTCTGGTGACTGGGCTCCTGAGGGGGTCATGGCCCTGACCTGGGATGGGCTGAAGGTTAGGCATGAACCTGAGTGCCACTTGTTCTAGGCTCCATTTGGGTCTGGCAGTTACCCAGCTGGCTGTGGCACTGTTGCCAGCTTGCCTGGGTTGTTTCTGTGTCTGCTAGATTGAATTCTGGGCCTTCCTTTCCCAGACCTCACCCTTAGGCCAGAACTTGCAGGAAAAGGTCTCCCCCTCGGTGGTATATGGGGACTTGAAGACATAAAAAAAAGGCCAGTGTAGGAGTCTCATTCCCCTACCCTGTGAATCCTGAGTCCCCTGGCAGGAGCTAAGGTGGACTCTGATGGCCCTCTGCATGCTCTTCAGAGAGCCAAGAAAGGACTTCCTACTGGCTGTGAGACTCCCTTTCCTCCCTCTGCCTTTCACTTGACCTCAGTTGCTAAGCTGGAGGGATTCTTTGTGTCCTTTTCCTCCTGCAAAGAGACCCTCCAGCAGGTGACTGAAGATGGGGGCAATGCCTTTTCCTTTGTGGCTGGGATGCTACATCTCTTCTTGTGCATCACCCTCCTCTACCATGTCTGAGTGAATGTTTTCTCTGGGGCTCCCAGAGCTAGCTTAAATACAACAGCCCCCGAGGTGGTCACATCCAACCCTAAGTACCCAGAGACATCTTCCTGCACTTTGGCATGGCTCTTGCCACATGCTGCCCTCTTCCTTCAGTTATTTGGTGACTTCCCCTTCTTGTTGTTATTGTCATTACTGTTCACTAACATTGCTAAGTAATTACTGTCTGCTAGACATTGCACCAAGAGACACTGAATGTTGTTCTCTCATTCTTAAATTTTCATCCTAAAAATTCCCCTAATGCAGCAGATAAGAAAACTGGTTAAATAAATAATTTTTATTTGCCCGAGGCCACACTGTCAGCAAATGGTGGAGCCCATTTCTGTAATCTTGCCCTAACTGTAAGCTTCTTGCCATTCAGGTATCTTACATAATAATGAAGTGTAGAATCTGTAAAGCGGAGATAAGGGTGATATCTGTCCCAAAGCTGATGTAGGATTGAGCATTTACATATAAAGCACTTGTGACAGGGCCTCAGTGAGCATTCAGTAAAGGGAATTCTTGTTGATACTGTTACTGTTAACACCTTGACCACTGCTGCTGTCTCTACTGCTGCTTCATCTCCAGGGGTCTGGTGCATGATGAAAGTCCACAAATTGCCTGTAGGTGAATGAATGAGTGACTGAATGATATTTTTCATTCTTTTAAGGCAGGGGACCGGGTGATGGTATTGACCCGGTCAGGCATGTGGCAGGAGGAGGTAACTGTGCCATCAGTCCAGACCTTCCTGATGCCCGAAGCCATGACCTTTGAGGAAGCTGCTGCCTTGCTGGTCAATTACATCACCGCCTACATGGTTCTCTTTGACTTCGGCAACCTAAGGCCTGGCCACAGCGTCTTGGTACACATGGCTGCAGGTGACAGGTCCCTTCCCTTTTCACTCCACCCTGATTTCCCCTCCAGGCCCCTTTCTGTAACCTGGCTGGTTTGTTGTCATGGCAACACCAGGCTGCCTGGCCTGTGTTCCTCAGAGGCCTCTATAGTATAGTTGCCATGGTAACATTTACGTACCAGGCCTAGCCTGGTGTCCTTAGCAACATGCCGCCACCCCACACCTTCTCCTTTCCAGTCATCCTCCCTTCCAATTCTCAAGCATGGAATTGAGCTGGGGCACAATGACAGTGGTGAACTAACTAGCTCCTTGGGAAGCTAGAATGCTGAATGGTGACCAAGTGACTCCATGTCCGGTCCTCCCCCACCCCCATGGGTATCTTGCTGCAGGTGGTGTGGGTATGGCAGCCGTGCAGCTGTGCCGCACTGTGGAGAATGTGACAGTGTTTGGAACAGCCTCAGCCAGAAAGCATGAGGTGCTGAAGGAGAATGGGGTCACACACCCCATCGACTACCACACAACGGACTATGTAGATGAGATCAAAAAGATCTCTCCCAAAGGTAGGGTCAGGGCCTGGGGAGGGATGGCACAGGACAAGGAGAGTGTCCAGATCTGTGTACATTAATGCTTTTTTCCTGGGTTTCCTTACTCTGTGACAGGAGTGGACATCGTCATGGACCCTCTGGGTGGGTCAGATACTGCCAAGGGCTACAACCTCCTCAAACCCATGGGCAAAGTTGTCACCTATGGTGAGTTAGTGGTTCTGGGATATAGCAGGTTGCATGAGGCAGGAGGGTGGGACTGATGAGTAGAAAACTGGGACACGGGGACTTGAGATTTTTTTTTTTTTTTGTCATTTTGAGACAGTGTCTCTCTGTAGCCCCAGCTGTCCTGGAACTCACTTTGTAGACCAGGCTGGCCTGCCTCTGCCTCCCAAGTGCTGGGATTAAAGGCGTGCACCACCACACCCGGCCAGACCTGAGCTTTTGGGTTGAAGGGGAACCAGAGACTCCAGGGCTCTACAGTAAGAGTCAGGGTTTGGACTGGGCCTGGATATGTCAGTAAGATTGCTGCTCCCTGGGTGCCAGCTACTTGTTCTCTTCCACAATTTTTCACATGCATCAGTAATTTTGTGTTCCTATTTGCAGATTATTTCTGATACAAAACCAACCAGTCTGCCTTCTTTCTATAGCACCCCCTGGGCTTCTTGGGCAAGCTGGATTTTTATTAAAAAGCCCACTTTACACAAAAAAAGTAAATATAGAGCCGGGCATGGTGGTGCATGCCTTTAATCCCAATCCCAGCACTGGGAAGGCAGAGGCAGGTGGATTAGGTGGCTCTCTATGAGATCCAGGCCAGCCTGGTCTATATAGTGAGTTCTAGGCCAAATGAGGCTAGAGATGAGCTCTTGATTCTTCTGTCCTCTGCCTCCTAAGTGCTCAGATTATAGGCATGTGGCACCATACCTGGTAAAGAGTAATTTTTCCTTTCCTTTTCCTCCCTCCCTCCCTCCTTCCTTTCCTCCCATCTTTTTTTTTTTTTTTTTTTGTCCTTTTGAGACAGGGTCTCCCTGTAGCCCCAGCTGACCTGGAAGTCACTATGTAGACGAGGGTGGTCTTGAAGTCAGAGATCCACCTGCCTCTGCCTCCCAAGTGCTGGGACTAAAGGTGTGCGGCCTGGTCCATCGTTCCTTTTTTGAGGCAGGGTTTCATGTATTCCAAGCTGGCCTCAAATCTGCTGTATAGTCAAGGATGAACTTGAACTTCTGATCCTCCTGCCTCTACCTCCCAAATGCTGGGATTACAGGCTTGCTCTGCCATGCCTGATTTTTATAGTACATGGTAAACCAGCATTCTACTAACTAAACTACATCCCCAGTCCTTTTGTATGTATGTATGTATAAATTTTGGGGGGGATCTTTTTGAGACAGGGTCTCTCTCTGTAGCCCCAGCTGCCTTGGCACTCACTATGTAGACCAGGCTGGCCTTGAACTCACAGAGATCTGCCTGCCTCTGCCTCCTGAGTGCTGGGATTAAAGCCGTGTGCCACCACGCCTATATGTAAATTTTTTTACATTTATTATATGTATGTGTACATGTTGGTGCCATGGCACACATGTGGAAGTCAGAGGACAGCTTGCAGGAGTCAGTTCTCTCCTTTTTTTTTTTTGTCTTTTTTTTTTCCTGGAGCTGAGGACTGAACCCAGGGCCTTGCCCTTGCTAGGCAAGCGCTCTACCACTGAGCTAAATCCCCAACCCCCTCCTTTTTGTTAATGTTACTTTACTTTTTACAAAATTTTGTTATTTTTATTTTATGTATGCGTGTATTGCCTGCATGTAGGTAAGTGCACCTATGTCGTGCAATCCCCAAGGAGGTCAGAAGAGGCTGTTGGATCCCCGGGACTGGAGTTACAGACAGTTGTTAGCTGCCATGTGGGCGCTAGGATTCAAACCTGGGTCTTCTGCAAGAACAACCAGTGTTCTTTATTTTATTTTATTTTTTTAATAATTTTTATTTTATGTATATGAGTGTATTATCCGCATGTATGTGAGTGCATCCGTGTCGTGCAATGCCACGGAGGTTTGAAGAGGGCTTCGGATTCCCCTGGAACTGGAGTTAAGGCGGGTCATAGCTGCCATGTAGGTGCTGGGAATCGAACCTGGGTCCTCTGCAAGATTGATGTTAACCGCTGAGCCAACTCTCTAGCCCACAACCAGTGTTCTTTAACCCCTGAGCCATCACTCCAGCCCCCAGTTCTCTCCTATCAAGCAGGACCTAGGGGTTGAATTCAGATTGGTGGCAGGTATCTTTGCCTACGAAGCTATCTTACTGGCCCATTGTATATGTGTGTGTTTTGAGACAGTGTCTCCTGTAGCCCAGGCTGGTCTCAAACTTGCTATATAGCTGAGGATGACCTTGAACTCCTTATTCTCCTGCCTCCACCTCCTGATTTATGGGACTACAGGATGTACTACCACATCTGGCAGAGAGCGATTTTTAAAAATTTGATTTTTTTTTTTATGTATGAGTGTTTTGCCTACACGTATATAAGTGCACCATGTGCATGCAGTGTCAGAAGAGGGCATTGGATCCCCTGGACCTGGAATTAAGGGTGGTTGTTAGCCACCATGTAGGTGCTGAGAACTTAACCTAAGTGCTCTGTAAGAGCAGCCAGTGCTCTTAGCCAGTGAGCCATCTTTATGGCTCAGAGAACTATTTTTGAGTCAGCAAGAGTTAGTTTGGGCCTGGTAACCAACAGCTCAGGGATTGTCCTGTCATTCCCTGGTACCAGTGTGGTGGGTTGCAAGAGGAAGAAGGGGCTAGACAAACATGAATTCAGATGTGCAGGCAGATACCTGACAACCTGGATCATAGACCATAACACCCTGTCCCTTAGGAGTGGCCAACATGCTGACCGGTCCCAAGCGAAATCTGATGGCTCTGGCCCGCACATGGTGGAATCAGTTCAGTGTGACAGCTTTGCAGCTGCTGCAGGCCAACCGAGCTGTGTGTGGTTTCCACCTGGGCTACCTGGACGGCGAGGTAGAGCTGATAAATAGTGCGGTGACCCGCCTCCTGGCTCTGTACAATCAGGGCCACATCAAACCCCGCATTGACTCAGTCTGGCCCTTCGATAAGGTGAGTGTGATGACTACAGGGAGGTTCTGGGTAGGTCACAAAGGCCAGGGTCTCAGGAGAGGATCCCTGGGGCAAATGGGAGCAACTCTTTGGGGCTGGCTCTTGTGAGATGGGGCAGATAACACCTGGAGTGGTCTTTTCTTCCTCTCCAGGTGGCTGATGCCATGAAGCAGATGCAGGAGAAGAAGAATGTGGGCAAAGTCCTCCTGGTTCCTGGACCCGAGAAGGAGAACTAGGGTCAGGGGCTGAGAGCTCTTGAGAGCCAGGAAGGAAGAAGATGGGAAGATGGGAAGCCTTGTTGTGTTCACCACCAGCCTCTCACATTTCATCCTCTGTCATGATGCTCTGCCCTCCCTGCCCCCAAAGTTCTCTGTGCTGATGACCATTTCCCTGCCCTGAGCTTTCTCCTGGCTCAAGACTGCCCTTCCCCCACTCCTGCCCTCAGAAGAGGTTGGGAAGTGACCACTTGGATGTCTGGGCCCTGCCAAGGGGACAGGGTAGATCAGAGGGAGACTTCCTGCCCCTCACCCTCTCCCTGGGCCTGCTATGCTGCTTTTGTGCCAAGGCTAGCCAGTCCCTCCCTGTCCTGTTCTGTGTGCTTCAGTCTCTGCCTCACTTTCTCTCCTGCCCCTGCCCCACTACCTCCCCAAAGAATGAAAGTGTCAGCTCAGCATGTGGGGCTAATTTGTCTGAGTCCAGCATATACCTGTATCTCCCTAGTGTCCATTCAACCCAGGCCAACCAGTGCCCACCTCTGGGCTTGCTCAGTCCCCAATCTTGTCTTCTGTCCTCAACTTCTTAAGCACAATTGGACTTCTTCCACCTCCAGCTTGCTGCCTTTCTTAACCAAGGCTGCCTCTCACAGCAAGGGCAGGAGTCAGACGGGCTCCCCTAGGTCACCACTCTGGGAGGGATACCAAGCACCCCTACCCTTCACTGAGGCCTCTGGATTTGTTCTCAGTGCCTTAGCAGAGGAAAACCTGTGCTTGTATGTGTTTGTGTATATGTAGGGGTCCCTGTCTCCACCTCCTCTCTGCTCTGTCCTCCCCAGTGCCTTCCTTGTCCTGGTGGAGCTGGGGTTTTACTCCTCCCCAGTCCTATAACACTGCCAAAAATCTGTGTCTGTGTCAGTGGATGGGGAGCCATCCCCCAGCCTCTAGGGGTCAGTTGCCCTCACTGTGTTCTATGCCCTGTCCTGTCTCAGGGTGGTGGAGGAGAAGAGGCAGGAAGCTTAACCATCCAGAGCTCTGGAGACACTGCTAGGTTTTGTGGGACCAAAGTAAGAATCTGAGCACATTCCTTTTGCTGTCAAGAGAGGCTCAGGGCCTTCTCAGAGCCTAGAGGCAGATTTGAGGATCAGCCCCAGACTTTGTTTACATGGGTGGGGAGGAGGAACTTGGGTGGGGGCAGGGGAATTAAAGGGGGTGGTTAGGACCTGGGCTACTGGAGCCAAAAATGGGGACTTTTAGGGCTAGGGGGTAACCCCTCTGTCTCTGAGCTGGGATTAAGAAAGGCTATCCATTGCCAGTGGGAGGTGGGGGGAGGGTTTCAGCCTCTGTAGTCTAAATGAGGCCTCCATATGGGAAGTGCGATTTCTGCTTTTGTGTCCCCCACCCCATTACCACAGCTGCCTTTGTGTTTGTGTCAATAAAAAGCCAAGCCCTGGGTCCTGACCTGGATGTTATTTCTGAGAGTGTCGGGAAAGGTCTGGGTTCTGCCCCGCCCCGCAGCTGCCCTTCCATGCCCCACAGTTCCTTTCATGAAATGAGGAAGAACATCACTGTGGTAGTACACACATATTGTTCCCTACTGCATATGGCAATACATGATCCCTGCCCCTGAGAAGGCAGACATGCAGATCTAGGCTGACTTGACAGTAAAGACCGCCAGGCCCTGCTGTCCTGGGGGCACAACTGCCAGGGCCTCTACTTCCCCACCCCCACGGGTGGGCTTCTGGAAGTGGATCTCCAGGACATCATGCAGCTCCTGGGCATCCAGGACATCAGGAATGTTCAGCACCAGCACTGAGCAAGGTGCTGGCTGGGATTTGATCTAGGAAAGGAGACATGTGATGGTAAAGGCTCATGGGAGTACAGGGCAGGGCAGTGGGGAGCAGAGGTTAGGGCAAGCAGTGCCCCATGAAAGCATAGGAGGGTTGGGGAAGCCCAGAGAGGAGGCTGCTTGGCAGGGCTGATTGGGTTTGAAGGCTCTAAGCCCTCTCTAGGCAGGTATCTAGCAGGCAGACCGAGTCCTTGGCCCTATCCAGCCACTTACCTCGGCCTCATGGATCACCCCTCTAACATAGGGAGAGACTTTCAGAAGGACCTGCTGCCGGCCCAGCGGTACACTAAACTGGCCAATCTGGCACAGGTTCTGAGCCACTGTGGGAACAGGGAGGAGTAGGCATTTGTCATGAAGGCCTCTCCTCTCCCAGTCCCATGCACCCTAACCTCCCCTATAGGGGCCTTACCTTCCGCCTTAGCAAAACCCAGCATGACAGTCCCTTGCAGCAGCTCCCTAGTCTCCACATCCCCACCCCCATTCTTGGCCTTGCCAAAGAATATCTCCAGCTTGTCCAGCAGCTCCTCCTCACTCAGCCTGAGTTCTGCAGGAAACCCACTGACCAGCACTCTGTGGCTATCTGGCTGGCTGGCCACCTAGGGAGAGACAGGACAGAGTAGGCCCACTCATCCATAGGACCCAGCGGCATCCCACCCCTTGCATGTCAGAGGACCCTGCCATTTTGTCACCTGGATGGCAGTCACCATGGGCAGCTCCAGGGCCTGGACCTGCACCTGCAGCCGGCATTCCTCCATGTCAATATTATGCTCCTTCTGTCGTAACACTTGCTGAGCCACTGGCATGGGGGGGGGGATCACGACACAGGAGTCAGTACTGGGAAACTTCCAGGCCTCCCTGCCTTCTGTGGCTCTCCTCAAGCTCACCTTTGGGGTCATCGAAGGTGACCAGAGCGGAACTTCCAGGCAGAGGACAGCAGATCCGAAAGTTAGACACCAGAGGCTTGAGTGTGTGCCTGCCATTCTTGGTGAGTCCTCGGAATATCAGGGGGATTTCAGGCATTGGGAATGGGATCTGGAGGTCGAGAAGGGAGGCAGATGCAGATATCCTTCAAGGGTGGGAATGTGGGTACTTCTCCCACCCAGACATAAGGTGTCCGCCAGTTCCATTTGATTGATGCTCAGTGCTGAATGCTTTTACTGAAAGAACTGAACTGAGCAAGTCAGCATGACATTGGCCATTTTACATACAAGCTCTTTGTCTTCATACAAGTCTGGGAGGTAGGTCGTTTTACTTTACAGATGAGGAAACAGATTCAGAGCTCAAGTAACATTTGAGGTCACACAGGGCCAAGAGTAAAGCTAAGAACTTCCCAGCTTTTTCCTACCAGACATACCTCATCTCCCACCTTACCTTGTTTTGGGGGGAATCCTTGAGCTCCCTTCTCAGCTGCTGCAGCTCCTGCAGCCTCATCTTTAGCCTGGCCTGCCTCTCCTGAAGAATGCAGAGGGCCTGCCAGAGCAGAAGGGAATGAGGAGACCTCCACCTGCCCAGTCCTCCCAGGCACCCAGCAGCAATCAGGACCAGAGCCCTTGCAGTTGCTACAAAAGATTCAGGAGCACAGATCCAGGGTTTAACAAAGCTCGTCAAGCTCCTGCTACCAGGCCCTAGACCCTGGTAAGGGGAGTTAAGGGTGGATCCCTCAGGCCTATACCTATAACCTAAGACAGCAAGGTTATACTGCTGACTAGGAATAGCAGCAGGAGTTTAGAGGAAGGGGTTAACACAACTAAGGAAACTAAGGCGCATGCGTTTGATCCCAGCACTTGGGAGATTCACACAGCCCTTTCCACTGTCACTCACACTCTCCCCACCCGTCCCTTCTGCCCCAGGGCACAGCACAGACTTCCAGGTCTGCTGCTTCAGCCGCTCTTTTTTAAAAACATTTTACAAGACTGGAGAGATGGCTCAGTGGTTAAGAGCACTGACTGCTCTTGCAGAGGACCTGGGTTCGGTTCCCAGCACCCACACGGCAGCTACAAACCGCCCTTAACTCCAGTTCCAGGGGAATCTGAAGTCCTCTTCTGGTCTCTGCAGCATTGCAAGTCACGGGTGCACTCACATACATGCAGGCAATACACTCATATGCATAAAATTAAAAAAAAATGTCCTATCACTTAGCTACACCCCAGTAAATGTTTCCTAACATTTGCTAAATACTTTTGACAGGCACTGAGCTAAATTCGTGTCTTTCTTGTTTTCTTTCTACATTTATGTATTTGTGTGTGTGTGTGTGTGTGTCCACATGTGCTAGAGCATGTGAGTGTGGAAGTCATAGCGCAATTTCCTTCCTTTCCTCTTCTTCCCCACCCCTCTTTTGGTGGCAGGGTCTCACACAGCCCAGGCAGGCCTCAAACTTTCTATGTAGCCATTGATAACCTTGAACTTCTGATCCTCCTGCTTCCACTGCCCAAAAGCTAAGATTACAGGCCTGGTTTATGCAGTGCTGGGGATTGAACCCAGGGCTTCATGTATGATAGGCAAGCATGGTACCTAAGATACATCCCCAGCACCTTTCAGTTGTTTTGAGATGGAGACTTGATCTCTGGTAGGCTGGCCTCAAAGTCACAGCAGTCTCAGCCTCCACAGTGCTGGGATTACAGGCATGAGCCACTGCACCCATAAACTAAACCTTTCAAATGGACTCTATCTCTCAATTCTTGTGACAACCCTAGGGAGATACCGTCTTGTCTTTATAGATGAGAAAACTAACTCAAGAGAGTTAAAAGATATGCTGAGTCAGACTGCTCTGCCAAACAGTGCTAGCCAGTGAAGAAACTGAGCCCAGACCAGGTGTGGTGGAGCACACCTTTGCTCCCAGCATTTAGGAGGCAGAGGCAGGTGGATCTCTACAAGATTGAGGCCAGCTTGGCTTACAAAAGAGTTCTAGGCCCCCACTTCTGGAAGACCCACCCTGCCTTTTAAAAAAACCGAACAGCTGAAGAGATAGCTCAGTGGTTTAGAGCACTGGTTGCTCTTGCAGAAGACCCAGGTTCGAATCTCAGCACCCCCATGGTAACAACTCAAGTTCCAGGGGATCTGACACCCTCTTTTTTTTTTTCGGTCTTTTCGAGACAGGGTCTCCCTGTAGCCCCAGCTGTCCTGGAACTCACTATGTAGACCAGGCTGGCCTTGAACTCACAGAGATCCACCTCCCTCTGCCTCCCAAGTGCTGGGATTAAAGGCATGCACCACCACACCCGGCCTGACACCCTCTTCTATCCTCCATGGGCACTGCACAACATGGGTGCACTTACATACACGTAAAAAAAAAAAAAAATTGGACTGGAGAGATGGCTTAGTGGTTAAGAGCACTGGCTGTTCTTGCAGAAGACCCAGGTTCAAATCCCAGCACCCACATGGCAGCTAACAACTGTCCATAACTCCAGTTCCAGGGGATCTGACCCCCTCTTCTGACCGCCACAGGCATTGCATGATGCAGGTGCACACACATAAAATAAAAATAATAAATAAGCCGGGCACGGTGGCGCACGCCTTTAGTCCCAGAACTTGGGAGGCAAAGGCAGGTGGATCTTTGTGAATTCAAGGCCAGCCTGGTCTACATAGTGAGTTCAGGTCAGCTGGGACTACAGGGAGACCCTGTCTCAAAAAGACAAAAAATAAAAAATAAAATAAAAAAATATTTTTTTAAAAAAAACAAAGCTGGGTGTGGTAGCACATACCTTTAATCCCAGCATTTGGGAGGCAGAGGCAGGCAGATCTCTGTGAGATCCAGATCCAGGCCAGCTGGGGCTATAGGGGGACCCCATCTCAAAAAATATCAAGCCCTGAGTGGAGAATCATTTGCCCATCTACTGGCTTGTCCTCTTTTCATGTACCAAGCTGCCTTTCAGGCTGGTGTGATTTGGAGCAGATCCAAACAGAACACCAACACAACAGACAGGGAAGTGGCACCAGGAATCACAATGAACGCACCTTTGTTTGTGGGATGGGGCAGACATTGACTGGCACAGTTTAGGAGGTGGTTAGGAAACCTGATAAATAAGATTGGCTCAGAGAAATGTGTCCTTACTTGGGAGAGATGCAACTCTGTATTGATCATCCCTGTATCCCCAATGTCCAGAAAAGTCCCCAGCACAAAACATGTTCAGTAAATGTGTGATAGATGACTAATGTGGATGGATGACAGGGCAGGAGCTGTCCAGATGTCACTGAAGACATTCAGTATGCAGAAGGAAACTAGAGTTTGACCAAATCCTATTGGCTTAGGAATAGTGAAAAAAAGTTCCTGTCTGTGAATCAAAGGCTGCAAACTCAGGTTCTTTAAGGGTCAGTTAAATGCATGGGTCAAGAAAGTGATGCAGGCTAAGGAGTAGTCAAGTTTTTTCCATGGAGACATGGTTTCCATATTCTACATCTGCCCTTTTAAAAATTTTTTAATTTACAATTTTATGTGTATGTGTGTATTGCCTGAATGTAGGTAAGTGTAGGTAAGTGCAATGCCCGAGGAGGTCAGAAGAGGCTGTTGGATCCCCAGGAACTGGAGTTATGGACAGTTGATAGCTGCTATGTGGGTGCTGGGATTCAAACCCGGGTCTTCTGCAAGAACAACCAGTGTTCTTAACCACTGAACCATCTCTCCAGCCCTTTTTCTTTATGAGACACGGTCCCTCTGTATCCCCAACTGGCCTGGAACTCACTATATGGACTAAGCTGGCTTTGATCTCAGAGATCCACCACCTACCTCTGCTTCCCAAGTGCTGGGATTAAAGGCATGTGCCACCAGACCTGATTTAAGATTTATTTTTATTATCTGTACTTCTCTGTGAGGGGGTATATGCATATGGCCTTGGAGGCCAGAGGCATTGCTGGAGTTTATAGGCAGTTGTGACCTGCCTGATGTGGGTACTGGGAATATAACTTGTGTCCTTTGAAGACTAGTACCTGTGCTTAAATGCTAAACCATCTCTCCAGCCCCATATCTTCTTATTCTTAAGGGAAATTGGAAATCTAGAGGTTTTTTTAAAGACTATTTTATTTATTTTTATGTGTATGAGTATAATCGCCTGCATGGATATGAGTACAGCCATGTCCTGCAATGCCCTCGGAGGTCAGAAGAGGGAGTCAGATCCCCTGGAACTAGAGTTATGGACAGTTGTTAGCTGCCATATAGGTGCTGGGAATGGAACATGGGTCCTCTGCAAGAACAGCCAGTGCTCTTAACTGCTGAGCCATCTCTCCAGTCCCAGATTGCTTTTTTTTGTTTGTTTGTTTTTTTTTGAGACAGAGTTTCACTATGCATCCCTGGATGGCCTAGAACTCACTATATAGACCAGGCTGGCCTTGAACTCACAGAGATCCACCTGCTTGTGCCTCCTGAGTGCTGGGATTAAAGCTGTACACCACAACTAGCCATAAATAGAATTTCTTGAGGAATAATTCAAGAAGAATTTAAATTCTTTTTCTTTTTACTTTTTTGGTCTTTTTGAGACAGGGTCTCCCAGTAGCCCCAGCTGGCCTGGAACTCACTATGTAGAACAGGCTGGCCTTGAACTCACAAAGATCTGCCTGCCTCTGCCTCCCGAGTGCTGGGATTAAATATCTGGTTCTTGTCAATAACTAGATTTTTCAAACAGTATGTACAGTGTGATCAAGATTTTGAACAAACCGGGTGTGGTGGTGTACACCTTTATCCCAGTACTCGGGAGGCAGAGGCAGGCAGATCTGAGTTCAAGGTCAGCTTGGTCTACATAGTGAATTCCAGGCCAGCTGGGGCTACAAGGGAGACCCTGCCTCAAAAAGACGAAAAAAAAAAAAGAAAAAGAAAAAAGAAAGAATAGGAAGACATGGGGGTTGGGGGAAGGCAGCTAGAGATAAATGTGCATGCCACCACACCTAGCTCAGAGGTTCAGTTTGCTACCAATAGGAAATGAGAAATAGTAAAGATTCTTGAAAGGGAAATGAGGTGCGGTGATAGATTGGGCATTTGTTTCATTTTGCTTTGTATTTTGATTCTGGGGATTGAACCCAGACCCCTTCACATGCCAAAGATGTGCTCTGCCATCGCACTACCATCCTAGACCAGATAACATTTTATTGATTTACTGGGTGTAGTGACTCATGCCTTTAATCCCAGCATTTGAAAGACTGAGGCAGGAGGACTGCCATGAGTTTAAGGCCAGCCTAGCCTACAATAGTAAGTTCCATGCTAGCCTGGGCTACAGAGAGAATGAGGTTTTCTTAAAATATCAGACAAACAAAAATCAATGTGGCAGTGCTTCCAAGAGGACAGGATGAACTGAACTAGGGACTTTGGCTTTAGTAAACACACCCAGATTGCATAGCTTGGACTCCAGCCAGTGTGATGGGTGCAAACCTGGGCTGTGTATATGTGTGTGCATGCCACGGTATCCAAGTGGAAGTCAGAGAACTTCAGAAATCAGTCCTCTAATTCACTTTGACACAGGGTCTCTTTGCTGTCACTGTATGTG